CAAACTAATTTTAATTAGGTAGTAGCCATGATGGATTAGACGAATAACAAAAATTTGTATTTATTGTAGTAAAAGATTTTTTAAAATAAATACATTTTAAAAAACGTGTTCAATTATCGGTACTTTAATTGTCGGTAAAATTATTTTGTGCATACAAAAAGGTTATTTAAAGACATGAAAGTTTTTAACGTATATGAACGAAACGTTATGTTTTATTTTTCAATATCAGAATGGTTCTGAATTTTTTTCGATGTCAGAATGATCGAGGATTACTTATTTTCAAAGATTTTTTTACTTTAAAAACAAATAACAAACATACCCTGCGAAATAGTAACTTTTTAAATTAACCATTTTATCGAAAAAGATTTAGTAAGTTTTGAATTGTTCACCGTGGACCTTATTTGTAGAATTAAAAGTTTTGCCTAATTTGCCAATATCATTAACGCTTAAAAAAAAAATGAAAGAATTCATTCTTTCATTGGATAAAATATATATATTTTAGCAGTATATATTATTGGAATTTTTATTTTATCTATTATTATATTTATTTATATATTTATTTTATCATTACTTATATTTATAATATTAATTTAGATATTGTAAAAAGTATATAAGTTTTTTTGTGCCATTCTTTATTTTTTAATGGTTAGTCTTTATCAATATTTACTGTTTATATGCAAAATTCAATTGACAATAACTAGTAAGAATATTTAAAAAGTATATATTTATTAAAAAAAAAAAATATCGAAAAAAAAAAAAAAAAAAAAAAAAAGAAAAAGAATGAATGTATATGTCTGGATTTTTGTCTATCTGCAAGTATAATGTCAGTATGCTACTTAAGGAGGTGAACCATCCCATGAAAATGGTTTAGCATTTTTTGTCGGCAGAGCTTAAACGCAATAACGTTTAGTATCCTGGCTTTACATACAGAGGCATCATCGTATGGCTCTTTTAGATAATCTATACGCGTATTTGGAAGTAAACTAGTACAAATACATTTTTATTATGTTCGAATAATAAGATTTTAATAATCATAGTCAACAAATAAAATTCTAACGATTATGTGCGACAAATGAGATTGAGTGGGCGCAAGAAAATATATTTATTTTTAAATTTATAGACGTTTTCATCTGCATTATATTTTTAAACTGTTGTCATTTTACAAGTAATATTTTTTTAGAAATTTATACAGATTGTTGTTCGCATATTTCAGCGTTTAAGAAGGCTCAGTAGTTTGATTGATGCAAGCAGTACACAACATATTAGGAAAATAAATAAATATATAAACCGAATTTGTTGAAAATGTTTTTAAGTCGGTTTAAAAAAGTCGGTTTTTAAGACAAATTTCACTAGCCCGGTTCTCTGTGACAAGACTTTGTGATGGTCATATTGGAGTATTCGCGTTCTTTATACTTTATTTCTTATTCCTTATATATTAATAATACCTTCTCTTGTAATTTTTCTTCTTTTTTTTATTTGTTTCTTTGTCTTATATATTGAAATAAAAAACAAAAAAAAAAGATTTTAATCAATCCTTGCTTGGATAGCAAAACGAAACTTTTATAACCTAATAAATAGTTGCTTTAAAGAACTTTACTAAAAAAATTTTTTAGTTGTTAAAGGTAGTCTAAGAAAACTTAAGGTCTTATCACAGAGTATTACGGAAGTGCATTTAACTAGGAAGTTCACATATCCTTTCAAACGAATGTTGCATTTGGCTCATGCCGGCATCGAACTGCAAATCTCTTAGTTCTAATTACATCTCTAAAAATATCGCCACGGGTGCTTACCTCCTGCTTCTACAAATTATATATGCTTCAAGTTTAAGAATGTTACACATTGCACCAAATGAAACAAAAATTCATATTAGCCGTACTATTTCAATGGCTAATAACTACATAATATGATAACACTTGTTTATTGAACTTAACAGTAAAAATAAACAAAAGATGTTATCTAAAAATGCAAAATACAAATAGAAAATTGATTTCTGTGTTTCCAAGTCATAACCAGTTGTTTATAATCATATTAAATGATTTTATACCAAATTTTGTTTCAGGGTACGCTTGAAATAATTCCAAGGGATGCTACTGGTTTATGATATTATAAGGAATGCTTTTTTTTTAAAGTTTAAAGTTTGATACCGAAATAACCAGGTACTGAAATAACCAGGTACTAGCAAAAAGTCACTAAACAAATTGTCTTTTTACGGCAGTAGTTCCTGTTCCGAATTCTTATTCCTTATTTCTTCTTTACAAACAAGGATTGATCGGTATTTTGGATTTGCATAGAGAAGTACGAAATAAACGGTTTTAAAACACAATGAAATATACATTTTTTATAATAATGCATCTTAACTCTGATGCAAATGTGTTATTTCGAGACAATATTTTGAAATGGCATTGCAATTTATGTAATTTAATTGCTGTAAAAAGTTAATAATTTTTGAAATGCTCTTTACGCAATCATAAATGTGAAACATCTCGCTTTTTATTGAAATGGTAAAACTTATAACTCGTAGACAATCAATAGCATGAAAAAAAGGTAAAAGAGTTATTTTATTAGTGTTACAGGAAAAGAAAATATTATATAAGATTAGGGCCTTTGAGAGGGAGAGGCAAAGGGAGCAAATTGAGCAAGCTTAAAGAAACGCTGGATAATCCCATTGTTTTTTTTTTTTTTTTTTTTTTTTTTTAAATAATTAGAAAACATTTTAATTACTTGTAATGAGAAATCTGGTTAGTTTTTGTACTTTTTTTAATTTTATTTCTGATTTATAAGCATTTATAGATAAGAAATACAAAAAAGGTGATACAGGTAATATAAAAATTACTCTTATCAGGCCCAGTTTTAACAGTTTTCTATGTGTAGGCGAGATGCAAATTTGCCGCCGCAAAAATTAAAAATGCAATAATTTCCAATTTGAAGGAAAATAGAAAAACACTAAAAATCAAACTTTAATATAGAAAATAAAAAAACTCAATTTATACAAAAATAAAAAACAAAACAAATTCCATTCATGAAAAAATAAAAAACAAATCGTAATTAAAAGTGAATTTTCCTAGCTTTTAATTCTGCGAATTCTTTAACCAAATCTTCTATGTCCAAATGATCAGCAATTTCTTTCTCGATGGAAATCGTAGCTAGACCAACTAAACGATCTTGACACGTTTGTGATCTCAAATAGGATTTTATTATTTTCAGCTTTGAAAAGCTTCTTTCAGCACTAGCAACTGTGACTGGTAACGTTAGTAGTATGCGAAGAGCTATCGAAAGGTTTGGGAATACTTCGACAACATTAGATGTGTAAATACATTTTAATACACTTTTTGGATCGCTATTGGAAGTATCAAGTCGTCTCCCAATAGCTTTAATTTCATACCAAAGTTCGACCCCGTTGATATCAGATTGGCCATCAGACATAAGCGCTAAATGCAAGTCCTTACAATGTTTCAATAACTCATCATCCGTTAAGGGTTTGCTGCCGATATTGTAAAGAAACCCAAATAACTCGTTATATTCCGATAATTGCGTAAATCTTTCATTTATTGCTTGAATTGCGATGTCCAATATTCGATTGAAAAAAGATACTCTGAAGTTTCGTTCTGGTGATACTATCGGTTCATCACGACCTTCGTATAGGAATTGTCTACTCTTTCTGCGTACGCGTACGGGATCATCCACATCAAATCCACATCAATCCATCCACATCAAATTATTACAAATTTCCGTTATTCGGTTTGAAAAGCTTTTCACATGTTCCTCTTAATGCTAGATTTTGTCCAGCTAGAGTTCTAATTAACGTTATTATTCTTGCAAGAACTTGTCGCCATTGTTGAGTTTCAGATTGAATTATTTTCTAATTAATGTGATCAATCGTAGCCCCTGATTTAAGTCTCACCTCCAGATCTCTCCAATTTAGATATGCAGTAGTGTGGCCACTTGATGTTTCATGTCGTTTAATAATAACAGAAATATTTTTCCAATCTCGGCAGCCGTCATGCGATGACAGGGAGAATTTATTCGGACTAAATATCTTACAGCAAAAGCAAAATACAGTGTCTTCCCTTACGGAAATATTCCATGGAAAACCCATGGAATTCCATGAGTAAACCATGGTTTTCCCATGAAAAACGGGAATTCCATGGAATTTCCATGGGTAAATTTCATGAAAATTGAAATCCTATGGAATTTCCATGGGTGAACAATGTTTTTTTTTTCATAGCTTAAGCTGCGCCATGGTTGTTACAAATGCGCTTTTAAAGATGGCGTCATAGCTCGTAGAGTTATGATTATTTTTAAATTAGAAAACAATACTTACTGCATTCTTCTGTTTTTCTGTGTTTAATAAGGCTATGAATTATATGTTTTTTATAATGCAATACATTTATATGTTTTAACTAAACATACAGACATAAACAACTAGATATATTTATCATATTATAATGCATTATAAAAGGGATTATTTTTAATTATATTTTATTATATATCATTTATGCATATACTTATTTTAACTGTTTCCAGTAGCTTTGCTTACTTTGCATAACTTGCAATAGTATAGCAAGTATGTCAAGTAAACCAGTTTGAATTTTAATGCCTACTTGGCAAATTATTTGCCAAATAATTATTATTTGGTTTACAACAAATAAATGTTTAGTTTTAATCTACATTAAATAACTAGTGTATTAATGTACATAGTGTAATTTAATGTACATTCAAACTAGTATAATTATTATTATAAAATTTATCGAACGTATTAAAGAAACTTATTTAAAATATTAATATACAAGCAGTATATTAGATAAGATTAGATAACTAAGATAATAAGATTAGATAACTAATGTACAAAAGATAACTAGTATGATCTTTTTTATTTTTTTTTTATAATAGCCTTAGATTACATAAAAATGCTTGAAGTTTATTGTATCGTAAATGTTCATTAAGTATTAAAAAACATTTTTTTATGATAAATGTTCTATTCAATTTTAGTTCTGTTAAGTTGTTTTTGTCTTTTTGTTGTAGTTTTTTCTTTAGAATTATTAGAATATGTAAATAATGTAATATAAATAATGTTTATAAATTCTTTTATATTTACTTTATTATTTCATTTAAATTACTACATTATAAGCCAACAGGTTTGACTGGCAATATAAGTAATGTTGTTCATCGTTTATATTGTTTATAACATCGTCAGTTTTTATATGCATTTAATATTTTTAAAAATAGTTCAAAAGCTGTCAAAATAAAATGGTGAATTGAGTTTAAACCAGAAAAGATATAAACGTAATCTTTGGGATTCAACTTGTAAGGATGTTCCAAGAACCACTTAGTTGGAGAAGGAAAACTGTGGTAATATTTTATAAGTATCAGTAAGGGAATTTACTTAATGCACAAGATTTTACTTCATAGTTAAATGTAAGCATATAAAAGCAATGTTTATAAATAATACACTATTATTTATTATAATACAATTATTTTTATTTGTTTATATTTAACTGATGTAAAGTGCTCGTCTTTAGTTAAAATAAATTAATTTTTGCACACACTTTGATATTTACTATGCTTTTACATTACTATACTTTATAAATTACATATTTGTTATGTTTTAAATAGTGAAGTAAAAATATAATAAATTTTTGAATTTAATGGTATGTGCGTAAGTTCTTTTATTTTAACTTTATCATTTTATTTAAATTACTGCATTATAAGCAGGTAAGTTTGACTGACAATATAAATAATGTTGTACATCATGCAGACAGCTCAGACAAAGAAGTAAGTTTTTACTTAAAATTACAATTTATAAGTTATACTATATTTGTTGCTGCCTTATTCTATATAAATGTTACTAACATGCAGGTAAAATTTATATATGTGTATAAATCTTTTCATTTTAACCTTATCATTTCATTTAAATATAAATTTTTAATTTATTTATTTAGCCGTTCATTAACAAGTCCTGTGCTTTATAATATATTAAAAAATGGAAGGACGTGAAGAAAACAGGTTTGTAAATGATGTTGTACATCATGCAGATAGCTCAGAAGAAGAAGTAAGTTTTTTTTTTAATTACAAAAGTAAATATATAATATAATATTTGTTGCTGCCTTGTTCTATATAAATGTTTCTAACATGCAGGTAACATTTATATATGTATTAGTTTGAATAAATCATTTTAATAAAGTTACATTATAGGCAGGAATGTTTGACTGGAAATATAAACGATGTTGTACATAATGCAGATAGCTTAGGTAAAAAAGAGGTAACAATCTAATAATTTGTATTTATAAATAATGATGTATTCATTGCTACTTTTTTCTATATACCTAACATTTGGCAACATTCATAATTGTGTATAATGCCTAATTATAAAGTAAGTTATAATAGATAATAATTATAAGTAAAATGAATTAGTAAATAAAGAAAACTAGTTAGAATGTATATAATAGTTGTATGATGTATTGTCTAGATTGGTGAAATGGAGAATGAGACTAACTAGGGTGAAAAAAAATGAATATTAATATGTGAATGGTACTTTGTTTAACATCTACCTGTTTCTACAGATACAGTACAGACGCATTTATAAATGGGCTTGATGTTTTTTTGAATTAAATATGTTGTATTGATGGTTCTTTTTAACTTGTTAAAACTTGAAGTTATTATCAAATTTATATATACTATTTTTATCAAATAGTTAATATAAAATAATAAACATGTAAATTGTTTTATTTTTTGTAAAAATTGTTTTCTTGATAAATTTCAATTGTTTATCATTATGTATATCACTTATAGTATTATATTACTTGTAATTTTTTGTTTTATTTATTTTCAGTATGTTATACATATGCGTGCATTAAATATTGTGTGGAAGTCAAGTTTTGATGTTTTAGGTGCATTATAGCTATTATTTTTCAAAGATTTGTAGGATTTAACAAGATTTAAATTTTATTTTGTTTATTGATTTTATTTGAAGAAAGCGATCTCATAGATTAAGAGAACTCAATAATAGTGGGATAAAATTTGCTTTTATGATTTAATATGACAATTCAAATAACATTAGATAAAAAACTTGAAAACAAATCATGCTTTTTTACCATGAAAAATCCATAAGTTTTCATTGGAAAGGTGTTCCTAATACCTATGGAAATTCCATGGTTTTTCCATGGATGGAAAATCATTGAATATCCATGGTATTTGGAACACTTTTCCATGAAAAACTTAAAGATTTTTCATGGGAAATTCATGTGTTTTCCATGGAAAACTCATGGTTTTTCCATGGAAAACTCATGTTTTTTCCATGGAAAACTCATGGTTTTTCCATGGAAAACTCATGGTTTTTCCATGGAAAACTCATGGTTTTTTCATGGAAAACTCATGGTTTTTTCATGGGAACGTGTTCCAAATACCCATGGTTTTTCCATGGGTTTTTTTTCTAAAATTCCCATGGGAAATTTTCGTACGGGATAGAGTGGACTAATAACACCGGTTTCAAAATTTTAGGTGTTACGTTTTATACCAGACTGAGTAATACTACCAATTTCAACTGGCTAGTAACTCTAAACAAAATAGAGAAAAAACTCAAGTTTCTGGGACTACGTACTTTGTCACTTAGGGGAAAGACTATGTTGATAAATACGTTAGGATTGTCAAAAGTGTGGTTTCTGGCAAACGCATTGCCCGTTCCCGAATGGGTAATAGAACGTTTGCACAGTGCCATTTTCGAAAATCTGTGGCAAAAGACCAATTTCAATCCAGTCAAAAGAGATACGCTTTTCCTACCCGTCAAAAGCGGGGGTCTCGGAATTTTATCACCGAAGGAGCAAAGCCTTACGTTCTGCCTTAAAACACTCTTTCAAAAGAATGCGGAGAGGATAACACTCACGATAATTACTACTTTTTAAAGTACTGATTAGCAAGCTCACTTATTAAATTTACAAACCAAAACCCAAGCTGGAACTTTTTGAAGCAACTATTGAAATCTTAGGCAAAAACGGGTCCCTTTTTAACATTCTCCTAAAATCAACAAAAAATTTTTACTTAGAAGTGGCAAAAAACAAAAAGACAGTCGTACCAGCGGAACTTTTCTGGAACGGTTCAACAAAAACAACAATGCCGTGGACCCAAATTTTGAAAAAGAACTTTACCTCCCACGCATGCGGACCGACTCAAAACATCCTCTTTCGATTTTTGCACAACAGCCTACCTTCTGCGGCCTTGCTAGCCAAAAGCACAAGGCAACAGATTGTCAAAAACAATAAATGTAAATCTTGTGGTAAAATCGAGGACAACCTTCACATCTTTGCCTACTGTCCTCCCTCTGTTGAAATTTGGGAATATTTTAAACATGTATATAACTCCTTGAAGTTCCAAAAGGGTTTTTCTCCAATAAGTTCGATTTTCTCTATCGGAACCGCGAATTTATCGGAAAAAAAACCTATTTCGCAACTGTTGTTGACACTTACTCAAACCATCATAAGTGAGATATGGAACAGCAGATGCCACCACATGTTTAGTAACATGAAAATCAATCCAATGGCAGTGATCAGGATAATAAGCAGGAAAATCAGGAATATTATTTTTTTATAATATAATTATCATGTCCGTAGAAACACTACGGACATTTTTCGTCGACTTTTTTGTGTTAAAGATATAATTTGCCAAGTAGAAAACGGAAGACTGAAACTAAACATATGAGCTAAACTGACACGCTAGCTCAACAAAAGAACTATATGTATAGTGATGTTTTCCATTTCTCTACGAATTATTTTTTTTACAACAAAATATTATTATTCATGTTTAAAAAATCACTGCCAGCCTTTATTTTATGAATAATAATTTCCCTTTTTAAATGTTTTTCTGTAGAGTACGTAATGTGATGTTTGTGTAAAAGTTATTGTACAATAATACACAAACATCACATTTGTGTACGTAATGTGATGTTTGTGTATTATTGTTATTGTAACCATTATTATTGTTATTGTAACCATAGTGAAACTTATTTTTTTTTTAATGTGTAAACCATAGTAAATAGTTGTATTAAAATAATAATAGATTGTAACTTTAATTTTAAACACATTGAGTTAATGTAAACTTATAAAATTTTGTAAATAAATACTATTTTATAAAAAAAAAAAAAAAATTAATTCTGTCTAAAAATCAAGTTTTTCAAATCACAGTGCATAGGTAAATACGCTAAAGTATTTACAATAAAATAATCACATAGATATAATTCTCCAAAAGATATTTGGCTACGAAAATGGCTAAAATTATTAACAATAACTTTGAAAAAACATAATTTTTTTTAAAAAAGGACCTTTTTATTTTTTTTAAAGAAAATGATATATATCATCTATATATATAGAGGACTTTTTTAAAAAATTCAAAGCGGAGGGGGATTGAGTCTCTTAACTTTAAAAGACGTGTTGTCAGCCCTATTTGTAAAAATAATTTTGAAAAACTCCGCAAAAAAGAGAAAAAAATATTACTACTCCGACTTGCTTGCAAAGCGCAACATAATTCAAAGCGTATTCGGCAACTAATGAAAGAGATCACGGAAAAAAAAATGAGAAAAGTACAATATCAGTACAAAATGCAATAAAAATTACAAGTGAATTATTTAATGACCCTAATAAAATTGCTTTTGAATTTAATAAAATATTTTCTTCAATTTGAACAAAGTTATCAATTAAAATTCCTTATCTTAATGACAAATCAATTGATGAGTTTATAACTTCACCTAATTTAACTTTAAATCTTTTAAACCTAACATACAGCGAAGTTGAAGGTGCGTTTAAATCATTAAAACAAATTAAGGCATTTGGGAATTGCATCAATTGAAATGTTGTAATAAACTCCTTTGACGTTTTGAAAGATATACTCTTTAAAAATTCAAAAGCATTTATTGCTCAAGAATCCTTTCCAGACTCTCTAAAAGTAGCAAAAATAACCCCTATTTATTAATCAGGTGATCATTGCAACATTACAATATATTGTTCTATTTCAGTTCTTCCAGTTTTCTCTAAAATACTAGAAAGAATAATATATAGCAGAGTCAACAAATATTTTGTTGATACTAAACTTTTATATAATAATCAATTTGACTTCCAGAGAAACAACTCTACTGAACACGCCATACTCCAACTAACACGTAACATTTCTGATTCTTTTAAAAATTCTAATTATACCCTAGGTATTCATCGATTTGTCTTTAGCTTTTGATAATGTTGATTACCGCATTCTAATAAAAAATTTAGAACTCTATTGCATTAAAGATAAATTCCTACGCTGGTTTAAAAGCTATTTTAGTAATCGTAAGCAGTTAGTTAATATCCAAGATTCTTCTTTGCCTTTATTAACGAATATAACATGTGGTGTCCCACAGGGATCCATAGTTGGGCCCCTATTATTTTTAACATATATAAACAACCCTTTCAAAGGCTCTAACTTAACTACTATAATTTTTGCTGCTGACACAAACCTATTCCAATTTCATGAAAACATAAATACACTTTTTAATAATATGAAACAAGAATTAAATAAAATCTCATATTGGTTTGAGAAAAACAGATTGTCCCTTATATTTCTAAAACAAAATGGACACTTTTTTACCCAATATCCAGAAAAAATTTTTTACTAAATACGATTCCCGACCTCGTTATTGATACAAATACAATACCAAAAAGGGAAAAACTACTTGGAGTTCTTGTAGACGAAAACTTATCCTGGAAACAACAAATCGATAATATCTCCATGAAAGTTGCTAAAAGTATTGGAATTATATATAAAGTTTGACATATGTAAAATAAACAATATTTTAAACAACTATATTGTTCGTTTATCCACTGCCATTTAAATTATACAAATATTGTATTGGGAAGCGAACACAAAACTAAACTTAAATCTCTTTATCAGCATCAGAAACACGTAGCTCGCCTAATTAATTTTGTAAATCGTTTTTCAAGTTCATTTTTCAATGAGCAGTATGTGCAGCCGTGGCGCAGTGGTTTGATTTCTGGCTCAGAACCCAGAGGTCCGAGGTTCGACGCTGTCTCTTGACCAATAAGCGACATTGTTAAGGAACGTGGCGTAAACTTCTTGTTAAATGCTCCCCTGCGGTGCTCCGTGATAATACCGAAAGGACTTCTTGGAGCACCTAAATAACAAAAAAAAAAAATTTCAAAACCGCTGCTTAAATGTAAAAATCATTTATTTCGTAATGTATTTACAAACCTTTATTATGTAAAACCCCAAAACAAATACAATCTTCGCTTCGTTAATTTGATTTTATTGTTATTATTATTCTTCGTTAATTTGATTTTATTGCTATTATTATATTTGATATTGTAGAAGACTTCATGATAAGATCGTATGATCTTCTGAAAGTCCTGCCGATTATATTTGTAATAAAGCTGTTTTGTAATTGTAATTTTTTTTTTATTATTGAAGGCAAATAAGTATACAAAAAAAAAAAAAAAAATTGGTTCTATAAAGTGAGGCAAAAATGGAATCTTTTGTATTGTGTATGTTGTGTGTTGTATAAAACTCTAAAAATATAAAAAGACGATTACGCATTTTATGGAGTATGATTTGATGGTTGTTTACGACTACTGTGCAGTTAGTTATTTGC